TGCTGGTTTGATTCCCAATCAGGGCTCGATTCCCAGTAGGGGGCCTGCAGCAGGCAACCGCACATGGGTGTTTCTCTTTCTCCTTCCCTTCTCTCCAAAAATAAGTAACATCTTTGAAGAAAAAATGAGTTCATTTTTGCAGAAATAAACCACCTTTGATTGGTTGGGGCCTTCTGAGCAGAGTCCAATACATGCCTGAAATGGAGTCTCTAACATTTAGTTTTTACACCCATCTTCTGATTCTTACTATTTTATTTCTTTGCTCCTCAGAGGGGGAGGGAGGGAGAAAAGAGAGGGAAACACCCACGTGTGAGAGAGACACGGAGCAGTCGCCTCTCGCACGCCCCCAGCCGGGGCCCTCACCGGGAGCCCAACCAGGGACCTTCTGGTCACAGGGTCGATGACCCGGGGAGCCACAGGAACCAGGGCTTCTTCGCTGTTGTTTTTTTAAACAGGAATTTGGCCTGTTTACACTTGGTTTTAGTCTGTCCTTGTTACATTTCTTACACATTTTTGAGGTTTCCTCTTTTCCCTTTCTTCTTCTATTAGTTTGGCCGTTTTTCCTGCCTCTTTTCCTCTTAAGTTAGAAATTCCATGCTTTGACGTCCACCACTGATTACCTGCCCATTCCTTTTGGCTGTAACTTAACCCTGCTGATTAGGCAGAACTGAACAGGGCAGGGCCGAGCATGGAGCTTGGGAGCTCTCAGGTGCGGGTGGGTGTCCAGGCTCCCACGGAGCCAGGGCCGGGAAAGAGGCTGTCCCCAGAGGCAGTGCACACGTCAAGTCTCCGAAGTCTGTCCACATCATTACCCAGCTGAAGAGGAGAGACGGCGGGGGTGATGGAGACTAGCAAGTGGAGAGGGTCCGTGGGGCACAGGTGGCGGTGGGGTGGAACGTGGATGGTGTCAGCAGTAAGATCAGAAACTAAAGGCAGTCCAGCTTGTAACGGGGTAAGTCAGGACGGCAGGAAAAGCAACAGGAGAGCAAAGGGGAGAGATCATGTCCTCACCCCAACTGGCGTGGCTCAGCAGTTTGGGTGTCATCCTGCGAACCCAAAGGTCACTGGTACGATTCCCGGGCAGAACATATGCCTGGGCTGTGGGTCAAGTCCCCAGTCGAGGGACACGTGAGAAGCAACCAACTGATATTTCTTGTGCACATCGATTCTCTCCCTTTCTCCCTCCCTTCCCTGTTTTGTTAAAAAATAGAAAGAACTGTGTTCCCTTGGTCTTCACCCAGAAATTACATGTGAACGAGCTAGGAGGGGAGAGCACGCTCTCTAAGTCACTCATTCCCGCCCCAATGCCCGCCCACTCACCCAAACATCCACCTGGCCTCCCACCTACCCATCAATGTAGCTAGTCCTTCACCCACTAACCCCCAGATCCACCCACCCACGATCCAGCCAGGCACTTGGTAATTTCCTGGGCACCTCCTCCATGCGCAAGCCCAGTTCTGAGAACCTGGGGTGCGCATCATCAAATCTGTCCCCACCCTTGCAGATGTCAGTGGGGAAGAAGTGGAAACTCTCCATGCGCACAGGCTGCTGCTGCCTTGCCAGACACACCCCCCGCAGCCTGCTGGACAAGCTGAAGGCTCCTCGGACCCGCCAGACCCCCAGCCGAACCATCATGCAACCCGTCCCTGCGTTATGCAGCCAGGTCACCACAGCCTGATTACATTTCCCTGAAGTGCTCCTGTTGGGCCGCAGGCTTGCTCCACTGCTTGTGGCTCCCCACGGCCAGAGGCTATCGACCTCAGCGACTCCACAGTGCCTCCCCCAGGAAACCCTGCCTGACAGCCTTCCACATGTGCTTCGATAACACCCGCTCACCAGCACCCTGTTCATGGAACCTTTGATGGCTTCCAAAAGGCACTTCGTGCCTCATCAGCTACTAAGATCTCTGTGGCAGAGCCTGTCATAGTTGTCCCCACCCCGGCCACACACACACACACACACACACACACACAGCCTAACAGATCCCAGAGCCGGATGCTCCCAGAAGGGTGGTATCACTTATGAGGCTGCTGGGCAGATGTCCCCTGCGCCTGCTGATGAGGGGAACAGGTTCCAGTGAAGGCCACTGGTTCTGGATGTCTCCAAGCGCCAAGGGTTTCTGTTGGTCCCGTCACAATCCCTTATGCTAGGGCACACCGTGGCAGCCACGTTTCCAATCACTCGTTAAGGTCCTGCTCCCTTAGCCACAGTCCAGCGGAGCAGTAAGGGATCCGATTGATAGGGACACCGAGAGCCCGTGGGGCACAGCCACACCTTCCCAGAAAGTTGACCTGGGAAGTCTGGGGGACTGGCCGTCAGGAAGCTGCAGCAGAGGCATGGAGGACAGAGGACCGAGGGAGGCCGCGTGCAGCCCTCGTGGGCCAGGAAGCCTTAGAGGTGGGAAGAGCAGCAGAGCGAGCCGAGCGCAGCTACCAGGCGGGCAGTGCCCCACGGGGCGGCCTCCCTGCCCGCACCCCCAGAACCCTGGTTGGCACAATGTGCCCACAAGGCTGGACCTGGAATACCCGGGCCCTCACAAGGCCAGGCTCGTGCTGCGAGGTCACCAACCATCCTCCTCCTCCTCCAATGGACCCCACGGCGTAGGATCACTTTGTATCATCAAAGGAACCTGACTAACGCGGAAGGCCTGTGCCACACCAGAGGATGCTTCGTCATTTGAATCCCCTGACCCCACAGTAACAGAGGACTGTCCCTGGTTCGGAGGAAAGGTGCCGTGCACATCCAGCTCCTCAGCCTGGCAACGGTGGCCTTCCGCAGCCCCAGCCCCTCAGCTGCAGCTCCCCCCAAGGACAGGCTCGGACGCTTGAGCGCCACTATCCCGTGTCTCAACCAAGGGTCAAAAACGCCTTCCTAGTGCCACAGAGGGAGCAAGTGTTAGCTTAGGCAGAAGCCACAGGGTGCAGCCCCCAGTACATGCTGCTGGACCTGATGCCAGCCCAGGCTCCTCCTCTGGGCTGTTCTTACCCATTTTGTGTCACCGAACTGGTGTCCCCACCGCCCTGGGTGCTCAGGAAGCCTCCCTCCCTTCCCTGTGCATTAGGACCCCTGGGACCAAACTTGGCCCAGCCTTACACCCACCGGCCTCGCACCTGTCACTTGTCCTCACTTCAGGGTGGGGACAGAGCATCCCCCACACCAGTTCACTGCCCCAAGGTTGTGGCGGTAGCTTAGCCTGCTGTCGGGCAGGCGGAAGGCAGGGCTGCCTCTCGGTTTGGGTGCTACTTGCTGCTGCTATGGAAGCCCAGAGAGGGTCACAGACCTGGCCAAGTCTGAGTATTACTGCACAACGAAGCTCGCTCGTGACCACCACCTGCAGCCTGCTGGGTTAGGGCTGTGACCCAAAAGCCGTGCCACCTGACACTGCTCCGCAGCGGCCCCGACCCTGCTCGTGAGGCCCGGAGGTCCCAGCACTTGCCAGCCCTTCCCCCAGCAGCACTGGCCTCCATCAAGGTTGAGGTGTTGCGCCCAGGGTTACCGCCCCCTTTAGGCAGGCATGGAAGACGATCTTCCAGTTTTACAGGGAGGCCCTGGCCAGAGCCCAGTTCAGATTCCCAAGTTTGAGCACTTCCCTAAAAAAGGGATCACTGCATGGAAACCCAACAGCAGGCATGGGGGCAACTCAGACCCCGCTGTCTGCTTCAGGATCCCAACGCTGCAGCCCAGGGCCCAGATTCTGGGTTAAGACCTCCTCTAGCTTTCATTCCTAGACCCTAGCACACAGAATGCTTCCACTTTCTGACAACGAAGACCCAGAGGCATGGCTCCTGAGGACCCTCGTTGCTAAGGCTAAAGAACGCAGCCATACAGCTGATGAACATACTGCACGGGCCCCCAAATCCCTGTGCAAAGCCTCCCAGGGTCAGAGCCCAGTTGCTGCCCATGAGCCAGCCATGGACCAGAGGCAAGTCACCTGTCCATTCTCGAGAGTCAAGGCGGGGAGACACCGCGGTCAGAGAATACTGTCTTTCCTCTCGGGAGAAACAGAACACACATCACAGCTGGAGAGAGCAGCGACAAAGGAGCACCTGTTCCCGCCACAGAACTGCCTGAAGCTCTGGAGCAGTCAAACGGGCCGGAGTTTGAGCACTCGGCCTGCCGGTGCAGCCTGGGCTAACTGCGCGTCGCTGGAGCGTGCGTGAACACTGGCAGAGAGCGATCAGGAAGAGCTCTTGAGACAAGACTTGTTTGCAAAGCTGCACAGAACATAAAACCTCACTTGTGGTTTGAGTATTTTTTTTCTAAGTAGACTCTCCAGCAGAATACCCTCCCAGACTCGGCACTCTCCTGGGAAAGTCGGCTTCTGCTCTGGAGGGACCTCGGGCGTGGGGGAAAGGCTCTGAGCGGCGCCAGTGCACTTGCAGTTCCCAGCAGCGGGAGGGCGATCCCCCACAGGGCTGGGTGCTGCTTAGAGAACACTACTCTCCCATCTCCAAACCTTTAGGACCCAAGTTCACCTTGTAAGTTCATCTACTTCAGAAGAGACCTGCTTAGAGAGCAACCTCCCAATCTTCCTCTTTCCCAACTACAGATACACACTGTATCCAGTCACTAACTAGGGGCGCACCTTGTTTTTACTGCGCCTCACAGATGCCTTTTTTAAAGGCAACTAAGCCAAAGCAAGGCCATTCGTCAGCAAGATGGCTACCACTCACTTTATTAGGGGCCTGGAACCAATCCTGGATTCTCAGGTAGGCCTCTGTACATGTGTGTCTGAGCTCCCTAGTTACGCACCCATAAAGGTTCCATAAAATCCGATTAGGGCAGATTTCTCACCTGTACTCAAGTTGCAGGATAGAAACACAGACCCAGAAAGGCCACTGACCCCAGGTAATAAGCAACATCTGTTTTGAGAGCAGGGCTGGCAACGGCGGAAGGCAAAGTTCAACACAAATACAAAGCAGCAGCTACAAAACAGGGCGGACTTCACAATATCTTACGAAAATCTAGGTTAATTTTAACATTAAAGCAGAGACAAAATGTAATTTTAATATTGTTTTAATCAAGTAAAGTAGCTCTTTGAAACAGGAAATTTTAACAGTTGAATAGAGCAAAGTGAAGAATTACTCTATTAGGATAGCCTCTGTGAATAAAATTTTTATGTGGATTTGAGTCAATTGTAAATTTGGCACCAGACTGAACACAGGTCTAAGTCAAAATTTTCTCTTTAGTGTTTAGAAGCCCTGAACATCTTTTCCTTCAGATCAAGGAAAAAAAAAAAAAGGAAAGGAAGTCAACCTCTAAATCAGAACCTCATTAGCTCGACACTGTATATTCAGTACAACGTGGCCTGGCCCCCAATACCTCCTAGGAAATCCCAAATGATGAAAGCAAACTGGCCTAGGCCAACAATTTGGAACCCAGGTGAAATGACAATTTGCAAAAACCTCTTTGGTGCAACACAGCACATTCCCTCCAGGTGTGGTGGCTTTTGCTTCACTCTCATCAAAATCTATCAAAAGCCAGCTGGAGACCAAATTGCTCTCTCTCCAGTAAAATTACTAATTTCTTAAAATACCAAACTAACAAAATTTTATTATACCAAATGTTTGTATAATTTCAATGTGAAAAAACTTTTACATACATTTGTCAGGGTCTCATAACCCAAGAAGGATCACAGAGATGAGTGACATAAGCCTGTGCCCCGCATTAAAACCGACCCCCACGGTCCTTGATTTCCACCGTGCGCTTTTAATAGAAAGGGATAAATGCAACAAGTTTTTACTTTAAAAAAATGATTTCTCATATAGACCCCGAACCCATAACAACTAAGTTCAGATCAGCTAATTGGGCAGAATTCACAAGGAAGTTATTTCTAAACCTAAAGTCCAGGACGGGCCGGGCCAGGCCTGGTCACCTGCATTCAGTGGCCGTCACCAAAACTTCAGAGGAGTGTCTGATTATATTCAATGTGAAACAAAAGACACCCCAAGTCTCCCACCGAAGTATAGGCTGACTTAAAAGTACAATTTTAGTTTTCTTTTTAAATAACACATTTTGGGAGACCAAAAAAAAAAAAAAAAAAAAAAAATCAAGTTTGAGACATAGCAACACTGATTTCGACAAGATAGCAACCAAAACCTGTGTGTTCAAATGTAAAAGACATTGAAGAATAAGCCACAGTATTGGGGAAAATCCACACTGAACAAAAGATACAGTATTTCTCAACGTTTTCAAATTGTAATTTAAACCGTAAGAGTGAAAGCTGAAAAATTATGCTGTTTTTGCTAGAGATTAAGTGCACCTTTTCCTTCTTCCCCCAAATAAAATCATAGGACTTACTATTTAATCATACCCCAAAGCTTGAGTTTTCTCTCAGCATAAAGCAACAGTCACATACACATAAAAACGCTTGTCTGTTAATGCAGTAATTCCCCTGGCTCATCCAACTTGCAATGCATATGACTTTAAAAGACTACAACTTGGGGCAAGTGTATGCCAACTGAAAAAAAAAAAAAATTCAAGTTTTAAAACCTGCTTTTAAAATTCTTTGCAGGGCACTTGGGCCCTTTTCTCTCGGTAAGAAGGGGTTGCACTGTCCACCCTGGCATGGTAGGGATGTATGTTGCCAGATGGCAACTTGAGGGACCAGAGAGAAAACTTAAAAAAGTACTGTATTTCTTAATGGCTGAATAAAGTAATTACAAGTAAGTTCATGTTTACATTCTGCTGAAGACCTCTTCACAGTCTCAGCACCTAGCAGTTTCTAACAGGCTCCAGGAATCCGATCAGGTTAACTGATAGCACGATGTTTTTTAGAGGAGCCAACTGTTTCAGCTGAAGTCATTCAAAGACAAAAATCTGAAGAATGACCAAAATCAAATGTTTATTTTTATAACTGTATAAATGTGACCCAAATGTGTCCACCACTAATTTTTCAAAAAGAAAACATGCTATAAATAAGCAAACTACATCTGCTCACTGATATGTGTATGGACTCCCGAGATATCTCGTTGGGCTTAATTACAGACCACTCACAGCAATACGTTTTTAGCAGAAAGTGTAGCATGATGTTAAGCCTTTTAAGCTTTTGCACATACATGTTGCACTTCTGGCTGATGATGCAGAAAGATTCTCAGCATTACAGTTAAGCTGGGCTGCACCCACCCATTTAAATGGCATCGATATCAATGTCATCGTCCTTGTTATCAGACTTCACAGCTTCAACTTTCGGCACATTGGCAGTCTTCGAATACACCACCTGTCAAAACAAACGGTTGGGGTTTTTTTCCATTGAACGTCAATCTTTATGCTAAGTAAACAAAGAAGGAATATTAACCCTGGGCAGGTAGCTCAGTTCATTACAGTGTTGTCCCCAATACACCAAGTTTGTGGGTTTGATCCCTGGTCAGGACACGTAAGTGGAATAGTAAATCAACGCCTCTGACCCTAAAATAAGCACACTTTTTCAATTAATAAAAAGACAAGACAATCACCTAGATGTAGCCTTCATTCTTCATATAAATTTTTTGCGGGGGGGGGGGCCTCTTTCCCCAATTCAACAGTATGTTCATTTTTACAGACCACTGGCACCTCTACACACAACGTGCATTATTTGAATGAACCTTACATTCAAAACGCAGGCAGACATTTGGAATCCCATCTGGGGATATGACTTTCACTGCACTTTGAGGATTTCCCAAATCACCTAGACAGTGTCTCATTGCCTGAGTCGCCCAAGCCCGCCATCTCACAATTCTCAAGCACCCGCTGCGGGCGCCAAGCTGCACCCCCCTCGGGGCTCACCTCAATGTTCTCATCTTCGTCGTCGTCGTCACCACCGGAGGATTCCTCCTCCGCTTCCTTCAGCCACTTTATAAATGGTTCTGCTTTGACACGAATCTCTTTGGCAAGTTCTTTTGAGACGTATTTCTTTGAGGCCTGAAAAACAGTAGGTACAATTTTTAGTTGGAGAAATTAAAAAGTCATAATTTGAATTGTTTATATAGTTGCTCAAACTGAGCTCTTCAAGGGAACTGAGTCATACCATAACCTTGAACCCTCACCAAAACACTTGCATTCAATAAGAAAAGCACTTAAGAGTCCAAGTAGCTTCTTGTCATCACCAGCAAGCTGCCGTGGCGTGAAATCCCCTACAGGTCACATGAGGCAGGCAGAGCACCTGTGTTTTCTAAGAGATCTTACTTACTCATTTTGAAAGAAGAGAAGGGAGAAAGAGAGGTAGAGAAACACGGGCTGCCTCTCACAGGCCCCCAACTGGGCACCTGGCCTGTAACCCAGGCACCGCGCAGATGGGGAACTGAACCAGCGACCTTTTTGGTTCGCAGGATGGTGCTCAGTCCACCGAGCCACACCAGCTGGTGCGCTGCTGAGCTTTCATGCAGAAAGAGTAGTTATCAGTAGTTAACTTATTCCAAAGAGCAAGACAACAAAAAAAAAATCCAAAGCCCAGCTCTTCTGGTCTTGAAGAGCCCGTTTACACAGCCCCCACCTTCTCCGACCAGCTGATGATGACCTCCTCCTCCAGGAGGTCCGCGTCGTACATCTCCTTCAAGATGTGCGGGATCTTGGCGATGAGCTGCGCTTGATGCATTGCCACCACACACTCCAAACCATGAAGGAGGTACCGCTGGGCTTTTTTGTTGTTGTGACAAAACTGCAAATAGATTTTTTTCTGTGTTAACAAGCTCTCACAGATATCCTAAGTTGACAATTCTAATATGCAAGTATATTCACTGCCTTAGCATTGTTCCTTAAAGTTATGGCCCCACAACAATGGTTCAAATAGGTTGACACACAGAAAGCTAACATTACTTCATCTGTAAGAGGCCATCTGCAGTTCTTACATTCTCACATGCTTGTAACGTCAATTATCTCCATTTTCAGGATGACAGAGAACAAATGGGCACGAGGTTAAATTGATGTTTCCAAGGTCACACAGCCATAACCTCATTTATGAATCTAAAACTGCTTACTCGTAGGAAATGGCGCCTGTATTTCTTTATCTGTTCTCTAATCTTCTCATTAAAAAGAACTTCTGTCAAAACAAGAGGGCCCATAGCTTTTACATCCAGTCTTTCTGCTTCAGCAACAATTTCTTTGTCTGATGAGTCAATAATACCCTCTTCTTTCTTTTTCTGCAAATAAAGGGAATTCAGTCAAAGGGATGCACGTTTTGTTGTAGACATACCAATTAGCCCCCACTCGCATGAACATTTCCCCTAGTGTGACAGTTCTAAGATTTCTAAATGATCGACAGCTGCCAAAGAACAGTGCCTGGGAACACGCTAAAAAAAATTTGAATAAACAAATAGAAAAAGTAAAAGCAAGCCTTGCATTTGAATATTCAAGACAGTGTGAAAAAGTTACTTGCCTACTATCAGCTTTAAATAATAAATATCTGCAAGACCTGAGGTCAGACTGAAACTGATTTTATTGATCACCGCTCTTGAAGCAAATGTTTACCTTAACAAAATCAAACAGGATATTGACCCGTTCTTCAACAGTCCTTTCCAGATCATCACTGAGCGTCAGAACTTTCGCATGGTCACTGATTTCATCCATCCTGCGCCTTTGAGCTTCCTCGGTTGTATCTTCCCCCCAGTCATCATCCTCTTCTTCCTCCTGTTTAAAAGAGCAAAGATGCTTGGCAAAAGGCCTTAAAAATGTAAAAAATGTTTGATTTCTAGTCGGGTAAATGCCATCAAGTTCATTTTCCACTAAGCTGGATTCACCTACATTCAGGCACCCCCACCTGAAACCCCGAGTGCTGCTGTTACGTTATTTCTGCTCACTATAATCAAATATATTGTGCACAGTCCGAATGCCTCCCACGCCATCAACCCTGCACTTACATCAGCATGTGGAGGGGGACTGATTTCACTTGGTGGTGGCGGTGGCGGCGGTGTCTCGCTGCTGGATACAGAGCCATTTTCCTTGTCTTTGCCCTTCCTATTTTTCTTTTCCTTTTCTTTCTTTCCTGTACCACTGTCACTATTCTCTACAGGGAAACAAAAAGGAGACCTTTAGTACCCCAGCTTACTTTGTACATTTCCAGTTGTTAACATTTAAAACCCTGCCCTTTTGCTTTTAAACCCTCCTCTCAGAAGACCACAATCACAGTGCTACCTAAAACATCAAGAGGATTCACAGACCAAATTCATTCACTGTATTTCATAGGAAAAAACTCAGATTAAGAGTGGCAAGTCCTGAAATATTAATGGTATTAATTTTGGGTTGGAGTAAAAAAAAAAACAAAACAAAAAAAAAAAATGAGGGGACGACCCAGAAGACCCAGCAGTGAAGGCTGGCATTCATGACCCCTTCCCATCATTCACGAACTTGAACAAGGGCACTGCTCAACTGCCCTTGAACCATCAGCGGGAGCACTGTCTAAGTCTATATAATGGCTTGTCTCATGGAGGAGAGAGTGCCGGAATAGGTCAGACTCTGTTACTATAGCAAGCTCAAATTGTGTCAGACAGTTTTGATCATCTGCCACAGAGTGTTGCTTGCAATGCTCTGAAGTCACTTAGGTTTAATAAGCTAAGCCCCCTGCCAATTTACAAAATAGTATTCCAAAAGGAGAGTCTTCAAGGGGATCTGCCACTATTTCTTTTATAATACCTATTTCACCCGTCGTAAGACGTTATGTTTTCACTAAGCGTGACAAGAGAATTATAAATTCCTCACGTGTTATATAACAACGAAACTCCCATTTCATTTCCAATAATCAGTTGCTTTACACTAAGATCTTAGAAGTTCACCACGAAGACTTACCAGGTGGGTTTTTGAGAATGAATGTGCAGAGTTTATGATGCGTGTCAAGCATGCCTCGGTAACCACAGGCTTTACATGAATTACCTATCGTTTGCTTCTTTGGATTGACATGCTGCCAAAAAAGTAAAAACAAATATGTCATCCATAATACATGAAAACTCTGTGAGGAACAAGTATAAAAGTGACCAACGGAGATCATATAACTACAACACCAGCTTAACATACTAAAGAGTTTCTCCAGAGTGATCTACTCTAAAACAAACAAACAAACAAAAAAAAACCCCAGTATGTAAACATATTCAAAATTTGTAGGTTTTGTGTTTATTTCCAACTAAGTCTGCACTGCCTTGTCAAGAACATTATTTGGTGTTTATCACCGGACTGATCACAGAGACAGGTACACAGTTTCTTCTTCTGTTGACGAAACCTCCAAGGAACTCACCAGCTCCGTTTCAGGGTTCTCACACTCGGGACAGAGAACGAATTTCTTGATGAAACCATCCAACATGTCTTGCAGCTTATTCGCCTCATGCGATCCATTGACAATGTAACGGTCATTCTTAACATCAAACTGGGTCTGTGCTCCCAGCTCACAACCAAAATATTTGGTGGGATCTATTTCGGAAAAAGGAAGTTTAACTACAGTTAACTCAGCCACGTTTATACAATTATCCTCTAAACGTTTGTAAATTTTGGGGTTTAAAAATGTGCTGCCTGGGCCTGGCAGGTGGCTCAGTTGGTTCCCCAACTGAGCGACTCCCCAAGCACGAGGAGGTTCCGGGCGTAATGCCCGGTCAGGGCACCCACAGGAGGCAACCGATGGATGTTTCTCTCGCTCCCTTTCTGTTATCAATAACAACATATTCTCCACTAAGGACCTAAGAAAAAAGGTGTTGCTGGGGCGGTTTTTGCACTAACTGCAACCGATCAGCTGGCTTTACATCAAGGCTCCACTTAACCCTTAAGCTAAGCCGCACACAGTCCACACCAGAGCCGCAGATGCAAGGCGGTCGCACCGCAGCGACGCCGCGCCGTCCCGACTTCTCCAGGAGGCATTACTTACACGTTGGAGGCCGATTAAGCGCCTTTGCAACGTCAACCATGTTGACTATAACTGTCTTGATTCCATTTCCTTTGCCCTCAACCTAAAGGAAATAAGAATTTAATTTCGCACTGTCTACCCAAGACACGCGATCTTTTAAAAACTACGAAGAGCGCTTAGCACTTGCTATGGAAACGAGGATGGGTTACCACCTTGGCAATCAGACGGGGCATCTTGTAGCGATAGAACTGGTCTGACACGCTGCGGTTGACGTTGACAGACATTTTGGCTTATTAGTGGCTTTATCAATAAGATGAAGAGCTCTTTGATTGCAACTTTTTGGTATCTTCTGTCTGGAGAAGAAGGGATGACATAAACGACTGCAAGAGTTCTCGGTCTCTGACATGAAAAAGTTTTCGCCACTGAGGCTGTAAGCTCCTTGCTTGGACGCTATGTTTCCCCAATACAGGTACCAATGGCTGCGCAACAGCTCTGCAAGAGAGGGGAGAGCCGGGCCCGCGGTCAGCGCGCCCGCGCCGAGGCCGCCGCGCCGGCCGCGCCCGCTCAGCCTCCCCCCGCGCCGGGCGCGCTCGGCGCCCCGCCCCCGCGGCGCCCCCGGCCGGGCCGGGCCGGGCCCCAGCCCCGCGGCGGCAGGCGTACTTCGAACAGGCACTCCCAGCACAGCTGGGACACGCGCTCCCAGCGCGAGCGGCCCTGCTCTTCGGGCCCCGGCCGCGCTCCCTGCGAACCGTCGCTCGACCTCCGCTCCCGCCCCCGCGCGCCGCCGGCCGCGGAGCCGCGGCCCGGCGAGGCCACGGCTGGGCGGCGGGAGGACTGGGCCGCGGCCGCCCCGCCCGCCATCCGCGGGGGCTGGGCCAGGGCACCGCCGGGCCGGGGAAACGAAACCGGCCGCCGGGCGCCGGCCGCCGCCCCCGCCGCGCCCCGCCCCGCGCGATGACTCACAAATGCAGCACGGAGGCCGGGCCCGGCCGCGCGGCGCGCTCCCGCGGGGCGGGGCGGGGGCGGGGAGCGGAGCGGGCCCGGGGAGGGGGCGCCCGCCGCCCGCCCGCCGCCCGAACTGCGCCACACGCGCCGGGTCACGCGGCGCGCCGCCATCTTGTGCGGCCGCCATCTCCCCGCCGGCCCGCGACTCACCGTTTTCGTCAAATAAAGACATAAACCCAACGCTGCTCGCCCGGGACTGGGATGAAGTGAGGCGCGTGCGAACCCGGGTCCGAGGAGGGGCGGCGGAGAAGCGCAGCGAGCAGCGGCCGGGCAGGCGCCGCCGAGCAGCGGGGAGGGGCTGTCCCAGCGACGTCCGGGGTCCACACCCTTCAGCGCCCGGGGCCTGGCGACCTGGCGCGGAGAGACGGCGCCGTGAGCCACAGGCGTTGGGGCGCCTTCCCCGCCAGCCAGCGGCCCGCGGGGGTCGAGGGGGCGGGGATGACTGGGGAGGGGGCGCGGGGCCGCCACCTCACCACCGGACTCACCTCTGGAATGTTCTCGCTCTGACTGAACAACGCCGCCGCCGCGCTCAAGCTACCCTCGACCCCAGTGCCCGCCCCCCGCGCCAGGCGGTACAGCCCATTGGAGGGAGGGCCGCCCGAGCTCGCCTGTCATTGGCGTGGACCCCGCGTCAATCGCGTCTGTGCCCGCCCCTTCTGCTTCCTGAGGCTCCACTCGCCGCCTCAGCCGGCCCCCCAGCCCCGGGTCCCCGCTTCCTTCACCTGCCCTCCCCACCCCCGCGTTTCCCAGAGGCCTTCGCGGCCTCGCGAGAGAGGAAGCGCCGCGGAATTGGGGGCGGCTCGGCGGCGCTTTGTCGGTTTGGCCGGCCGGGGGAAGATGGCGGTTGGCTCGCCTTTCCTGTCGGCGTGCCCCCGCCCCGTTGCGCTTGAGTTCTCCCCGCGGTGGTTGCGCAGCCTCGTCTCGGGGGCTTGGTCCTGTCTTTGCCGTCCGCTAGAGGAGTCTGCTCTACAGGAAGTTTTTTCTCCCTACTCCCTAGGCCTGGGCACAGGGTGAAGGTTGGAGGCCCTTTACCCTTTTGGGCTCGGGTCCTCAAGGCCGCGGCGACCGTGAGCCGCCAAGTCCCCTTAATGGGGTCTTCGTGAGGCCGGTGCGCCCGCTCTGCCCGTCCCTCTGCCTGCCCCCGGCGCCTGGCCCACACACCTGGTTAGGTGCGGTGACCGTCCGTAGAGTCACTTCCCCAGTTTGTAAGTTGTGATTTACGGGCAAAGCATAACCCAAAACAAATGTTCCATTTATTCTCCTGAAGATGAGTGCGATTTAGAAAGAGCTTCGTGTTTTAGTTCCCGTGATGGCCGAAACTCCCATTTCCTAAACAGATTTGTGTAAAAGTTTCCGTTGCGACTGTAAAAACTCAACAGCCCACCCTGAAATTTGAAAACACGCCCGGCCGTGAAACAAGAACTAGATAACGGAGCTGCTGGCCTCGTGTCCAGGGTGCCCAGGTCTAGATATGACAGCAAGGGTGCTGAGGGCAGGATGGGGCGGGAGAGGGGCCGCCCGCTGCTGTAGACCAATGCAGTTTGCAAGGAGGTTGGAATGGAAAGCTAAGGTGATGTATTAAGTTCAAGATCACTTTCCTATGGTTTATAAGCTTTATAAGCCATTTTAAAATTGGCAGCGTGGGTGGCAAGAGTAAATCAGAGGGAGATCTAGAGCTGAGAGAAGCGGCGTGTGTCCCTGGGTGCAGAGGCTTCATAGGCACGCAGCGTGTGCACAGCCGCGTGCAGAGCGCTTTGCGGCGCCAGGGTCCCGTGGGCAGGCTGCACAGGTGGGTCTCAGCAACGCTGCTTCTGGTTCACTTCCGAGCATGACTTAGCAGTATTGAAACAGTTGAGTTTTTGCATGACTGCATGCAAATGACATTATTTTAGAAACGCTGTTGGAAAATAGGGGCATGAAACTAGTCCGAGGTAAGAGGTCTGCCTCGTAAAAGTTTTTAAATAACCAAATGCAAAGTGATTAATTTTTTTGGTACGATTAATGGCCCCATTTCATTTCATTTTAAAAGTTTGTACTGCCCTGGCTGGTGTAGCTCAGTGGATTGAGCGCTGGCCTGAGACCAGAAGGTCACGGGTTTGATTCCCACCCGCTCAGGGCACGTGCCTGGGTTGTAGGCCAGGTCCCAGTTGGGGGGGGTGAGATGTTTATCTCTGTCTCTCACAACCATGTTTCTCTCCCTCTCTTTCTCTCTCCCTCCCCCTCTCTCTGAAAATAAATAAAGTTTTTTTTTAAAAAGCTTGTACTAATTTAACTTTAATTTTTTAGTATTTTTAGTACTGTGGACAGGAGGGTTGTGTGGAAATTAACTTCCCAGGCTGATCTGATCACAAATCCTTAACCGCAGGTCACATGATCATCATGTCCCGGGCTTAAACCTTTTTACTAAAATGTTTATTTTTGCCTTAAGCAAGCCCAGTCCATTGTTTTTGTCACCTAGGTTAATATGTCTTTGAAATGAGCATAACAACCCTCAAGAGAGCAAATAATCTGTTTAGCTATCCTGTAACCCAATCCCTGTTTTGCTTTCTCCTGCCTCCACTAACCTTCCATTTCAAATGCATAAAAGAAACTCCAAAACTCATTTTCCAAAGCATTTAGGATCTTGCTTCCTGGCAATTGTCATTAATTTTGGCTCAAATAAACTCATAAAAATTCGCTACAGGTTCGGATGTTCTTACAGGGACAGTACCACTCATCCGTATCTAACCACGGACAATTTTTAAAAATTACTCTTAACCGCACCATTTGTTGAATGCTTCTATAACCTAGGAATTTCCTAAGTCCATTGCATATAACTATCTCGTTTACTTCTCAGCACCTAGGAGGAATCTTTTATTCCCATTTTACAAATGAGCAAACTGAGGCTTTGTGGAAAAAATCAAGCATCTCACCCAAGATCATGTACCCATGACGGGACAGAGCCAGACGTTATACCCAGATCTGCGTGATCCCAAAGTCTGCTCCCATAACCATTTGCACCATAGCCTCTCCAGATAAACATAAACATAAAGCTAGGCAATTTCTGTAGGTAATCTCGTTTAGTAGCAATCCCGTGAAGGAGTGTTGTCAAACCCTCAAACTCAGGTGAGGAAAGAGACGCAGGAAGGTTAAGTAATTTTCCCAGAGTCACCTGCCTAATAAATGGTGGACAGCGTTTGAACTCTGGCTTGTTTGACGCCAAGTTCATTGCACAATCCCACCGGCCTTTTCTGGGTCTCCACCTCATTTGGCTGCATTATTTCCCCCAGTCAGGTGCTCACAGTTTGCTAAATAATGAGCTCGTGGGTGCTTATTATGAAATACTTTGCGAAGGAGTTCCTGAGCTATGCATTTCAGTGCATGCCCTGGACAGCGGAGGTGAATAGGCAGCTGAAGGATAAATTAGTAACTTGGCTTTATGGCTGTTTACACACTGGTGTCTGGGAGTCTGTTGAGCATGAATTAGCTCCCTAGAGCAATATCAAGCCTGCGTGCATGGAGACTCATGTGCTTCTGAGCTGTGGGCCACGCCGGGGGCGGGGGGGGGGGGCGCAGACCAAGGCATTGTCCTCTGTGATGGGCCTTGTGGTGGGCCGGCTGGCCTCCCTCTATGACATTCCTCTCTCAGCTTTCTCTAACCTTCACTGGGTTTCAAGGCTACTTACTGTTAGCCACGGATGTGCCTGGCTCCCCTTCTTGAGGCGAAGCTACAGGGATGAGCAATGCTTTTCTCGTAGCCCTGGGCCGTCAGGGGCTGCGTGGCGCAGGCGCAATGCAGGGCTGGGAGGGAACGGAAGGTTATCTGGTGTTAACAGGGGTGGGAGGAGGCGCAAGCTTGTTGAGGGCTAGAGTCCCTACCCCGTGGTAATCTAACGCACCCCTGGAAGTAAACATTGCGGATTTGCTAGGCAGCAAGGATCCGGCCCCACGTATGACACAGGCCCTGCCCAGGGAGGCCCCACATAAACATGCTTGGTGGGCACCCCATGATGGCAGGCCCACTCTGTGGCATCTCTCTTAGAGCCTCTGGGCAGGGTGTCTCCCACCTCTGTGACTGACACCCCCCCCCACCACTGGCATCCCTGGAACTTGATTGCAGTTGCCTGTTTACTTGTCCGCCCTCCTCATTAGGCTAAACATGCAGGCAGGGGACTGACCCTTGAGAACAAAGGAATCTGAGCTTCAGGGAAGGACTGGGGTCCTTCAGTTTCCAAGGGGACGGAGGCAGGAGCAGGGGTGTCTGAGGAAGCGATGAAGCCTCCCAGAGAGGTGTCTCTGGAGGCTGACGTGCCACCTTTCTCCTCCCTCCTCTTTGGCCTTCAGGTCCAATCAAACTCCACCTCGTGTCATTTTTGGAAAGAGCAAACAGCGAGAAGCGATGTGGGGGACCCGGAGAGCTGGCCCTCTCCCGGACGGGGTGTGTCGCTGTCACACGGAAGCCACACGCAGCCCCCCCAGTACAGGACAGGGACTGTGCTGCTTGCTCCTGGCTGGCCCCAGGTCCTGTCTTCAGGGAAGCTAGGTGTGTGGCTGCTGAGCCGGACCCTCCCCTGCGTGAGCTGGGTGGCGTTAGTCCCACACAGTGCGCCGCCCTGGTAGATCCGCGTGTGCACGAAAGGGCGGCAGCGGCCAAGGTGTGGCCTGGCGCCGGACGCCCCGTCCTGTCCTGATGGCCATTGGCAAACCTTTACGAGGAATCATCTTCACATGTTCCCAACGCTGCCCCACGTTTCATCACCAGAGGAAGTGCCCGCACGCTGGGCAGTGAGCCCATGGACGGCTGGCGGGCTGTGGGCTGCGGCCTGCGCTGGAGCCCAGTGCCAGCAAGCCCGGCTGGTCACCGTCTCAGCTGAGCCGGCGGCCGCTCTGGGCAGCACCACCGTCGGGGTCATGCTTTTGACTACAAATATCTATGACAGCCTTCTGGGCTTCCTTGCTTCCTTCTCTTCTTTCTAGACTAGATACATTTTAAAATGTGCTGTTGCCTTCGCTTCCATCAGAATGCATTCCTGTCCTGCTTGCCTGTGCACCGCCCGCCTGCCTTCACCCAGGGCTTCTCCAGCGAGGTCGGCACCGGCGCCCGGGGCTCAGGCAGGGCACAGGTGGCTGGGCCTTCCGGGAGCAGGCCCAGGGCGGGGCGGGGTCCAGACTGAGATTTCTAACAGATCCCAGGCGATGCAGCTGCTGCTGGCCCGGGGACCGCACTTGGCCTTCAAGCCGGGGCCCCCGGCGCCGGGACCCGGACGCCGCTCTGCCTTCCAGCACAGTCTCCGCAGCTTCCTTCCGAGACGCTCCAGAGGCCCTCGCTCGGGCAGCCCGTGCGTGAGAATGAGCGAGGAGAAACAAAGCCAGCGTCCCAGTGACCGCGCTGCTGTGGGGGGCCGGCTGTCCGGAGACTGCGTTGTACTGACCGCGCCGTTAGAATTGCAATAACGGTCCCAATGACATTGTGCTGAGACAAAGGCCTGACACTGCGGTCTCTCACTGGCATCCTGACCTCGGGGCGGGGGCGAGTGCTCACGTTGTCCCCCTCCTCTCATGGGTGGGGAAAC